GCCTCGTAACCCCTGGGTCTCGCGTGAAGGCGGGAACGCAGCGGCATCTGCCCGCGGACGCGGGGCGCACCGGACGGCCCACGCCTGACCGGAGGACCCCACCCTGGCCGGGGCATCTCTGACGTATATGTTTAGTGTGCGTTTAGACCCAATCGGGGTGGCCTCTGCTACCTCTAATATTAAAGGAGGGAAAAAGCAAGAATATGTCGTACTACAAAGCATAGCTATTTCAAGAACTCCCTCTGACTTTCCTGCTATTGGCCAGTATTTCCTATTTGGAGTGAGAGTATTAACAAGCAATATTAGAACGTAAGGAAGCTACATGAGAGCCTGTGTTTTGTTTTGTTTTAACATCTTTCCCCAATGCCCAGAACAGTGCCTGTCATTTAGTAGGTGCTCAGTATTTATTGCCATAGTATATCAACCTAAACCAGAGACTGAGTTGAATAAATAACCACTTAAATTTCTTTTACAACTACACTAGTATAATCCTTTACTTTTCTAACTTGTATTCACCAGCATGTCTGGACTAGCAAACCCTAGAGTGTTTGTATTATCTTTAAATTTCCTCAAATGACAAAATTTTTATAAGATCAATATTCTAATAAAGTAATCTGAAAACTAAACCAATAATCTCTTGCCATAAAGTATAACTATAGTATACTAATAGATTTCTTTATATCCTCTTTAAACAGAATTTAATGAGCCAATATAAACTCAAACCAGTTTAAAAAAAAAATACATGATGTGGGTTTATACCACGTCCAAGCCACTTTTAACCATCTTTGGAATACTAATACTATAAAGTCAGGTTACTAGTCATTTTTATCAAACTTTTGGTCAAAGTATTAGTTTCTAAAGCTTTTTAACTCAAAATTTGAAGGCTTTAGTATAGCACCAATTTCTCTGCAAATTTCTAAACTGTACTTGCCTTTACTTGGATGTTATTCTAAAATCACAACACTGGCAATCAGCTGTCCCAGCTGAAAAATTCAACACACTCTATAGCAACTTATACTACATAAGTTTCCAAAGAAGACAATTCTTACTATTAAATGTGTGTCTATTGTAATCCATGGTTTTCTTTAAGGTTCATGTAGTTCAACTGATACACTGGAATATCAGTTACCTGGTTTTAAAGCCAAGTGGATTTAGTGATGCTACCCCTTAACTCATTTCTAACACAAGCCACAGGACATCCCTCCCTCCTCTAACTAGTGGTTGAATAGGTACTTATTACAGAATAGCCCATTTCCAAATCCCTAAACAAGAGAATAAACTCCACTGTCTTTTAATAAATGCGGAGATTTCACTGGGAAGAACACGGGAGGGCAGAAGGCAGCCACTGTTAGTGACTGGAATATACAAAATCTTCTGCTCTAACTCGCTTCTTTGTAGCTCTTATATTGAATAGGCTGATAACAACCCCCTTTTTAGCAGTCTAACTTTTGACACTAGCCATTTTCCAAATAAATTTTCAGTGTGTATCAAACTTGAAAAAAGTCACTTCCTTGGGAGCTCTGGATATTATGTGGCATTTCGAGGTTACAGACCTTTAATTGTCTTCCTTTGCTTCTAGAATGAACAGACAATTATATGCACAAGTAATAAATTTTTTAAATGTCATGGCTGTTAACAATCGTCACTTTATTTTTGCTATAAAATTCACCAGAAAAAGGTACTGCAACAATCTAGTATAAAGCAAATCTTTAACCAAAGAACATGGTATAGATCTTTGTAAAATATTCACACTTTATCACAATAACTGCAAGGAAAAATTCAAGTTCAGTTAGAACCAAGCTGCAGTTTGAGGTAGTAGAAACATATGACAGAAAAGTTTAAAAAAAAACAAAACCCTAAGGACATACTCAACATGTTTAAAATGTGAAAATTAATTTCATACCTTTGAAAGGGCACAGAAGGCTACATATTTTAAGAAAAGAAGGTACTCTACTTAGAAGTTCACTAACTATCCAGGAGGTGCAAGGATTATAGAAGAGCACTTTAAGTCTCTAACCTCTGGGCTCTGCCCATTCGTAAGTGAAATCTATGCATAAATGAGCACACCGATAGTTAAAATTACCAAATATATTTTCAAATCTAAAATAAAAATTATCCAGGTTTTGGTCCCTTTATTAAAACAGTAAATATATCCATGCAGGAAATCCAGTATCTTAAAAGAAATTAAAATTAAATTGCTTATATAATATGCCTTCAATAATGAGGTCTATTGCTTTTAACAAGATTAGTATTATTTCATTTTAATACAGATATGTCAGGAGTACATAAACACAAGTACACCTGAAATAAACCAGTGTTTAAACTTTTATTTCACACCATGCAAGGTCAATTATAACACATTAAAAAGTGACAACAGCTATAAGCTGCAATTTTACATTTATACATTGGAAACGTCCACTTTCAAAAGCTGAACATAATTACCATATTGTCATAACAGCTAAGCTTCAATTCAACTGTTTATACAGGTAAAATTTACTATGAAAAACAATGATTTTATATCTGTCCACATTCTGTGATACTAATTCTTCGACTAACAGACCCTTTAGGAGAGCCAAATGACTCAATCTTTTTCACAGTATCCATGCCATCCTTAACAAACCCAAATACTACATGCTTAAAGTCCAAATGCTCTGCCTTTTTCAGTGTTATGAAAAATTGAGAATTATTGGTATCTGGGCCTCGATTAGCCATCGATAGTAAGCCAGGACCAGTATGTTTCACATCAAAATTTTCATCTTCAAATTTTTCTCCATAAATGGACTGTCCTCCTGTTCCATCATGTTTGGTGATATCTCCACCCTGAAAAAAAATTTTGATTAATAAGAATCCTGGATAAAATATTAAAATACACATAGAATTAACTAATCACTACAGGATAAGTCCTAAACACCCAGCTTGCTTGAAAATGTGGTTTGGAAACTAATACCCATTTTTGAAAGACAACAAAAATGATAAGAAGTCTTTTTTCCACCCTCAATTTAATAGCAGGTCTAAAGGTATTAAACATTTCCACCATTTTAGGTTGAAAGCTTTTGTGGGTAGTGATATATTGGGGTGGTACCACCTACTAATGTGTGGAAAAGCTAAAGAAATCTTAAGAAAATTATAGCTGAGGAGAAACTCAAATTTCCCAATTAGTGTCCAATTAGTGTTGTGCACTTTCCTAGACTTCAGTTGCAATACAGTCAATACTTACTTGGCAAACGAAATCTGGAATTATTCTGTGAAAAACGGAGTTCTTGAAACCAAAACCCTTCTCTCCAGTGCATAGTGCTCTGAAGTTCTCAGCAGTTTGAGGAACAATGTTTGAGAATAATTCCATGGTTATACGTCCCAGAGGTTCACCATCTGCACAAACATCAAAAAACACCACTGGGTTTGTCTCCTTTGATAATTCTGCTGTCGGTGATACCTGTCCCTTTTGGAGTTTCAATAAATTCTGTTGACATTCTTCAAATTTTTTCTTAAAACAATCAGCCATTTCTTTAGTTTTAAATCTCACGGCAAGCTGTTCCACTTTGGCTTCTCCATCTATGAAACAACAAAAGAACAATTACCTCAGTATCAAAATGTTAGAATATTGTTACGGATTTTAGCAAAGTCCAAAAAATGGAAAGTAACATTTAAATGTACCAGCATAATCGGAGGCAGTCCAAACTAAAGCATTGTTCGAAACATTTAAGGGTTTTAATTCCATTGTTTTGGTAATAACATGGTTTGCACACACTTTAAAGACTTGGTCTCTTCTCATTAGGATCCGATAGTAATTCTTCAGTGTATGCCAAAGAATTTTAATATCTCCAACACCACGTTCCTTCCACTGACTGACATCTCGATCCCATCTATAAAGTTTGGCTCTCTCTTTAAATAAAATTTCCTCATCTTCTTCTCCAGATTTTACTTCTACCTGTGATAGATAAAAAGATGATGCTCATAACATATTCCATAACAAATTCCAAAAATACAAATTCCTTAAAGTACAGTGGTACCTCCGTTTTCTAATGTAATCCGTTCCGGAAGACCATTCAAATTCTGAAACGTTCGAAAACTAAGGGATCAACAGCTTCTTGCCCTCAGCGGAAGCCATGAGGCATGTTCGACAACCGAAGCATTTTCTTTCCAGTTTATGGTGTTCATAAACCAAAATGTTTGCTAATGGAGACATTCAAAAACCGAGGCACCACTGTATTGTCTTTGTAATGATATTAACAAAATTTGAACTGTACTATCAAAACAAATGGTAATATCCTAGGGCTAGAAATACACCTGATTTGGATGAGGCAGTAAAGACCTGATTTGTTATTAAATATTTTTCTCTTATGCAGATTCTTCCTCCTTTTGAAAATTAAATACATTCTTCTGTAAGACAGAAGAGGTTTCAAAAAGTTCAAGAGAAATATTAACTACTATTTGAGGTTGAAAACTGACAAAGTAATTTGTCTAAAACATTCTTGTCCAGAAAATGTAGTTTATTTTTACTGACAGGACTTTAGCAAGTATGAGATTAGATATTTTTGCCCCAGAATAACATTATGAAAACAAACATATTTCAACGTAGGAAAACGTAAGCTCTTCCCAATAATTTCATAGATAATATACCAAACAACATTTACATACAAATTTTGAAAAAGGCAATTTATACTTAAAGGCTGAACTTCTGAGAAACAAAGAACTTCCATTTGGAAATGTAAATATTCTGAAAGAAATGTAAACAAAGCTGGCCCTACAAATCAAGTTTGAGATCTGAAATGGGAAGTGAGGTTATTAACTAGATTTTCAACCTTTAATATTTACCTCTGGCAATGACACTATTGGTTCAAAATGGATATCTTCATTATAAACTACTTCTTCATCACTACCATCGTCTTCTTCACCAACTTTACTTGTTGACTGTGTTCCAAACACTGTTGCTCCCGTGTTTGCCCACTGGAAATTTTTATCTGATGAATAAATCAGGATTTTTAAACAGTGGTATCTATTTTTTTTTTTTTTTTTAATATATCTTTTATTGATTTCAGACAGAGGA